GTACATGGGGGTTCAACGAGAAAAATAGACAAAAAAGAAAATAGCGGAAAACAAGATATATAGAGAGAGAGAGGGAGCCCGCGCGCTGTTGGGAGGCCATCAGAAGTTCTGACCCAGATCCGCTGTCAGATGATCAACCTGTTGGTGAAACTGGATGAGTCAGAACTTCTGACTCTAGAACCTGCAAAACAGAACCTTGTTAGTGGGGAAACCAGAAGTTCTGATTTCCCTGCGCTGCAAGACAGAAGTTTGTTAGTGGAGAACCCAGGAGTTCAGATTCTGCTGAAAAGGCAATAACTCTCAGAGGTTCTGATGTTATTGACAGCTTCAGATGTGCTAACGTCAAAGTCAGCACTTGGCTTTTTCCTGCACTAATCAGAACATCTGCAATCCTGTTGTTACTCCACAAAACAGAAAACATATTTGGAACGGATCCAGCAAAATAGCAAAATGTCTCAGAGGTCAGAATCACCAAGGTCACAGGCAGGTCCTAAACTGGCTCAGAACGTTCTGAGGTATGAGAGTCCTCAGAATATAAACAGCAATAACATGAATATTTACATTATGTTACTTGAATATGCACAACTGATGATGCTTAACAGTGTGGTGAGGGTCAGCAGGTGCTTACCTGACTTTCTGGAAAATGGTGGGTGAAAGTTAGCTTTTGGTTCTGGTGGTATTCTGGACAGATTTGGAAAAAGGGGAAGTGAAGGTGTAAACGTGTATAGGGTCAGAAGTTTGGAAAGAACGTTTTTTGGTTTACAGAAAAGGGCTGGGTGTTTGATGAAGTTGAAGGTGAGAAACTTAAAGTGATGAAACAAGGCTGGAAATTTTGGCAGAGTTTCAGAATGTTGTGTTGCTTAGGAGTTTGGTTTCTCTCTTAGCAATTTTTCTGTTTCTTTTTCTTGAACTTCTTGAACATCTTTTGCAGTGGTGAAAGCTTTCTATTTATAGGCAAAGTTCTTGTGGATATCTTGAACATTTAAGGCGCCAACAGAGTTTGAACTGGTTCTTTGACAGAAATTCCTGGGAAGTTGTGATAACAGCTATTTTTCAGCCTAGGTAGCAGCAGCATGCGTGGATTGGGGGAAGTGACCTCTGAAATGGGCGGTGGCGTGAAGACCCATGCCAGAATCTGTGCAAAAGCATTTTCCAAGCCACACGTGAACGCTCAGGAGTGGTTGGAAGCATTAATGGGCATTAAATGGTGACAAGACCTGTCAATACCAACATTCTGGTTGTTGAATCAGCAGCGTAAACCATGCTCTGGCCTTGGCTACCTGTTGTCTTAGCAAGCTCTGTAGATTCTCCTGGTTTTCTGGTACGTTCCTTGGGTCTACTTCTGGACAATCTGGACTTAGAGATTCTGTATCAATGTGACACCTATCCCTCTGACCTTTCATCTTCTGACTTCAACCTGTTCTGAAGGAGCCTTTATACTTTCATGTTTCTCTTGCATTCCTTTAGCAAGTTCTGACTGAGCTTGTGTAACTGCTGAAGGGGCATGTTCTGTTTGAGGCTTACACTCTGAACCACGTTTACAACTTCTGATTGAACTGATGTAGCTGCTGAAGAGCCAACTTCTGACCATGTTGAGCCAAACTTGCAACTTCTGACCGTCTTCATCTGGAATGGGTCCAGAAGTTCTGAAGCGCTGATTTTTTCTAAAAAACACTTATTTTAAAAAAACATTCTAAGCACTTAGAAATTGATTTTCCTCAAGATGGAAGCGTTGTTTCCGGAGTTTGTGAGATCATCTTGCTCTTGTAAGTGGCTTGCTTGGGCAAAAGGATAACCCAGGACTTGGATTTGTTCCAGTGGACTTTGAAAAATCTAAGATGGTTTCCTGAAGAAAGGGAGGGCAAATTTTGGGGTACAACACATACGAACTACGAAATTGAACTCTGATTCTTTGCAAGGAGATACGTATGCACGCGGTTAAAACCAAGACGAGTCCCGCTATTAAAAAATTAAATCATTTTCTTAAACATATGGAAACTAAAACTCTTAAATAGAAATTTCAGATTTACCCTACGACCTAAAATAGGATGCCCCTTGAGAACGAGGAAGATTAAGGGTGCCTAACACCTTTTATTTATCTAATCAACTCACGAACTTAGAATCTCTAAACAATTAGTTATCTGTTCTTTCTCGTTTTTAGGACAAAAAGTAGTTGTAACAACTCATATTTTTTTACCGATTATGACACTCCACAATACCTTCCGAGTCTGCAAGTATGCCTCTCCATGTCTTGGCCCATGCAGACACAACAGTGGTAGGAATAACCATTCTCTCACAAATTAAGGGGAAATGCTCATATACCCAGCACTCAACAAGAACATATGCAAACCAAGAAAAGTCATAAAAGGAAGTACTATGAATAAGAAATAATATTTTTTTATACTTGAAATAGACTCATATAACCAGCAAGTTGATTCGTCTCAAAGACAGTCGCCTCTCCAAGTGCAACATATAGAATAGTAAGTGCAACACACCACCATGCCCAACTGACATGCTCAATGCAACTAAACAACCATATATACTTCGCATCGATATATACATGGGACTTATCCACTAAGATAATGCATCCTTTAAGATGTATCATGCATACCCTAACGGCTGCCTCATATATACCCTAATGCACTAGATCTTTATACCCATCCCACAACCAAGATAGGCGAAAGTGAACACCTCTGTCAAACCTAAACTCATTTATCACCTGCTTCTCAGTAACCCCTAACTCATGTACATCAGTCATACGTGCAACCTCCTGGCTAATGAGAGGAGCGATGAAGAAAGTACTTGTCAAGCAAAGATGGAAGAAAAACGAGACATCATCCAGAATAATCGTCATCTCACTAAATGGAAGATGAAGGAGAGATTTCTCCATATGCCATCGCTCAACAAAGGTCGTCAATAATTGGTTGTCAATCAGGGTCAACAAACAGACCACCAGTGAAAGGAGACTGCAATCATCAACAATCACTTTGACCTCCTCCAGCATCTCGACATCCAAGAACTTCTTTAACTTCGCACCATGGGTGGACACCTTTAGTGGAATTCAGTCTTGTAAGAAATGAAGTAAAAAGCATCAGTTAATTTCAAAGTATCAATAATAAATAAAGTCACATAATCAACATATCATATACAAACCTCTCACTGCCTTAATCTGAATGCCATATGATCGGCATATCCAGTTAGCACATAACAGTCATTGGGCCACAAAACCCTCCATCTGTGTGTAAAAATGGCTTTGTCAAAGTCGGAGTAGTAACCTTTGTCTCAATCAGATGAGTAACTGCCAGCAGGCACCTCAATAGTTGTCTACAGAGTAACCTCTATAGTAGTCGGAGCTTTGGCCTCAGAAGGATGGAACACCTATGTCGTCTCATAAGGTGGGGCACCTCTGTCGCCTCAGAAGGTGGGACACCTCTGTCTTCGCCACCATCTGTATGTCATCCTGAACTGTAGCCTAGACATCAAGCGGCTCAACATCATTATCATCATCTCTCGTCCAATCAGAAGCAAATCTAGATCACCTACGCTAGATAGTGCGGGGTGCACGAAACTGATCGGTCAGCTGTCTCTTGTGAGACCCGGTTGGGAGCACTCTCCCCATCCAGAGATACGAGTCTTCTACGTCACCTCGTCTCGCTCGAGCCCTCACAAGAGCAGCTCCAACTCTATCACGCCGCCAAGAAGCAATCGTGACATATGTTCTTGGTCTTCACTAAAAAAAAGTTACTTAACCTAAAAGATTTTAAAGAAAAAACATACAATTTTCGGATTTTTTTTTAAAAATCCCGATAAAAATGCATGTATTTTTCAAAATTTTCAAAAAAAAAACGATAAAAATCTATGTATTTTTATCAATTTTTTCAAAAAAAAATTGAAAAACACATGCATTTTTACCCATTTTTTTCAAAAAAATCAGGAAAAAAATTTAGCATTTTTTACCATATTTTTTAAAAAACCGGTAAAAATGCATGAAAAATATGTGATTTTATCAAATTTTTCCAAAACACTGTAAAATTGATACTTGCCATAAACTCTAAAAGATGCAATAGCATCTTCAAAAAATCCAGAAATCTCGGGAGGTTTTCAAAAAACTCAAAATATTCGTGTGTTTTTGTGAAATGGATTTTTTGTGAAATGTGATAGTGTTAAATTAGTTTTTTTTTCCTATTGAAAATGAACGGTCGAATTTTTTAAAAGTCCAAAAATCTTTTTTTGGATAAATTTAGCAAGGATATTTTAGATAATACAAATAAAAAAACTGAGGTGTCGGGTCAAATTTTGGATATGACCGCACAAATTCTCCATAACCACAAGAGGTCATTTTTTAGAGTAACTTTTTTTCATAACGTGTTTCTAAATAATAATCACATTATTTCAAAAATGCATATCTGGAGGGGAAAAAACAACCATGTTTGTTTAGAAAAACACATACTTACATCCAATATGATTCAGGGGTGGGAAAGTTGCCTCTCTTTGTCCTGTATTACTTTTCCATCTCTTGTCTAGATCGGGTGGAAACTAATTAAAATGGACTAAAGTAGGAGAGACTCCATTGTTCTCATTGTAGAATCATTGGTGCCTTTACCTATGTGTCATTATTTTGCTCAGCATTGTTACCAGAGGAGGAACCATTTGTAAGCAATGTTTAGAATTAGAAGTTTTACTGTCAAATAATTTTCAGACAATACACAATACACACAATGAACTCATTCAAATATACAACGTTCCAACTTGCATGCTGCAAACTTGAACCATCCACATAATTTCCACTTGAGCCTTACTTCTAGAAGAGACATCTAGAACAATATTTTTATTTTTAGTTGGAGAAGGCTCACTAACAGTTCTGAATTCTGATCTAAGAATGTTTCTCCTGAGACCTTGTTAAATCAAATCGGAATTTGGAAGGTATAGCAGAACAATGGTCCCTGGCTACCAATGGAGAGATGTAGCAATCAATCACGGTTGTGCAAAGCAAAGCAGGATCAGAATTTGAAATTTTTCTTCATGTATAGAACCACCTCTTGCTAAATAAACAAAAGTCAGATCAACCAATTAGAAAAGTTGCAATGAGGAGCTCACTTAGGAAAGGAGATAGACATGGATGTCATAAAAACTGTTTTCGGGCGGGAAGAAAACTATGACAAGTGCAATGTTTAAAAATCAGCCAACTGAACCAAGAACCAGAAGTGCCAGCGGTTTATTTGAGCTGTTTGACCACGGTTGTGTAGCAGTTCGAGCAGTTTAAAGCAATTGAACCGTGACTCGGAAGTCTGGTTAGGATTTTAAAATATTGGACAACGTGTCTACGGAATCATTCTTTTAATGATAGTAAAAACAGATTAATCGTTAGATATATTGCTTACAATGAAACAGAGAAGAATGCATCCAGCTACTCCGGGATACAAAACATACCAGAAGCTCAAGGTTTGCAACTTAACACCATCAATGAAAAGCAATGGCATGCTTACGGCTGTAGATATAGCAAAATTTGACGGCTTAATAATAATGCTGGAGATAGATACTAGTTTCAAATCACGTAGAAGCAAAAATACCCGGGGGATGAACAGAATCGGTGTAAATCATGTAGGCAACACAAGCTGCAACACTAGCACTCTTGGCAAGCCATCCAGGTCCAAATATTGTAAACGCCAAAACACCTATGGCTGCACAACCTATTTGAGCCATCAACATACTGTACTTCTGCATAATGAGGGAGTATATGATTGAATGATAGTGTAAAATTGTTTACACTGACGGTATATATGAAATAAATCGAAAAGGAGATAGTAGTAATAGACGTACCCGTGCAGAAGGGGCTGAGGGTGAGGCAAATAAGAGTGCAGAAACAGCTCCTAACGGT